GTGGGGGTGGGGGGGCGGTGGCTCCCGGAGCCCCAACTTGGCCTCGGCCTCGCCCTCTGCCCAGCCCGCCGGGTGTCCCCTCCTTCCCAGGATTTCGTTTCTTCTCACGCTCCCCCCCCACCACCCCGACACCCCCCTCCTGCGTCCAGCCCTGCTCTCCCCACCTTGTAAAACAAAGCCGGGGGAAAATGCCTGCCCGAGCAGCTGGGAGCGCGCAGCCCGTCTCTGAATAAGTGAGTACAATGGCGTGTTTGTAAAAAATTAAAGAAAAGAAAAAAAAAACAACCCCTTCAAGTCCGTCTTTATTCCAAAAACACTGTGAATGCTGCATGCCTCATGCTTCCCAGCGCCTCGCAGGAGAGACCCGGCTATAGAGCAGGAGGTGAGACCCCCCCCCCGTACCCCCTCTCCGCCAGCCGCGCGCTCGGCTGCAGAGCTTCTCTAGCAACCAGCCCAGAGCTTTCCAATCGTCCCTTTCCTTCCGTCCAAAGCACTGGGTCATAATCTGGATTCGAAGAGAAATCTATCCCCAATCCTCTCCGGGTTGTTCCCTTCTCTCCCACCCTTCTGGCGCCTTTTCCCCCCTTCTTCTTCTTCTGCCTGGGTGATAGGTTTGGGACACCCGGGGTGGTGGGGGGGAAGGGGGTCAGCCCTGGAGAGGAGTCCACGGGGGCAGGTTGCATGGTGACCCTGGTCACACTTGTTGCCTTACTGCATGGTGGTGTTGAAGAAAGCTTGGTGCTGCTGTTGTTCCATGGTCAGTGGTGGGCAGAGTGCAGACAGGTGAGGACAGGAGACCTGGATTAAGAGGAGAGGGCTGTGTGTGGGGGTCGGGGAGGGGTCAGCAATGGATCACCTGGATCACAGGTCCTACTGGGCATGGAGAGCCAGAGGTTTCTTTATTAGATCAAGAGAAACGGTTTATTTTGTGGTGGTGGTGGTCTGTGTGTATGCATGTGTGTGTATGCGTGTGTTGTGCGAACGAACAGTTTCTGCCTATTCTGTCTGCCAAATGTGCATTCTGTGTATTTCTGCTAATTAAAAAATAAGGCAACAGCTTTTAAGAATCCAACTCCTTCTGGATCTATACAAGCTTAATACACACATACTTCTGATCTGAAAAAAAATTATATCTGTCGTTTTCTCCCTAAAGCGTAGAATGACAATATCTTAATGGGATTTCAGCTGAGGTTTGGTACCCTCAAGGTAAACAGTTGAAGTGTTTTTCAGTTCCACGGACTACAAACCACTGATGGCAAAAATCAGAAACAGCCGAGCACAGCAATATGGACAGGAGAGGCTTGCAGAGACAATGTGGAGGTTTTCTGTGTTTCCCTCTTATTCTTATTCCAAAATGGCTAAATTTTATTTTATTTTTCCACCAAGCATGTGGAGGAGGGACTGTTGGCAAACTGGAAAGATGACAGCTAGAACTTCTATTAGGAAAGTGTTTTTTTTTAATTACGACTTTAAACACATGCTCAGTGCTAATTTTGAATGAAGTTCCAGTTCTAAAATATTTTAAAGGTGTCTCCTCATTTGTTGTTTTGTGGAGGGAACAGTTGTATGCACCAGGAGGGAAACATGTACATACCTGTACATGTAGGTAGGGGGAAACTTAGGAGCTGGCTGGGATGCGCTACAGGTATGTGGAGTCTCCATGGAGGAGCTACTGTCCTTGTCTGATTTCATCTCTTCCAAGTCAGAGCTATTCTGAGATTGCTGGTGGAAGAGACTCTGTCATCTGTCATCATTTTACAGCACTACTTTTGTCTAATGCTCCAAATAGCTTTGTTTGGAAAGCATTTGTTGATAGGCAACCGAAGTTGTGCCTTATGAACTCAAATTAGGGTAGCCTGCAATTAACTTGCTGTTAGGCAAGAGGGTAGCGTGGGTAGCTGTAGGAAAATTGATGCATTTTTATCAGCATCTTATCCTCCCATAATTAGGGTATCTAAGTACAATTTCATGAAGATTTCTTATCTATCTATCTAAAGTGCTCCATTTCCTGAAACCTATGTTATAGACATGACAATAAAGTTATTTAAAATTAGAAACTTTAAATTGATTTGTTCTGCACAAATTAGTACTTTTTGGAGTCTTATTTAAAAATTTTTCCTAGCCATTCTATGAACCCATTTTTTTTTGTTGTTCAATTTTGCCTTTCCAATCAAATGTTCTGTGGTAGATGACTTCTTTTCCCCTTAGCAAGTAGAAGTCAGTAGACTTGTTTTCTAGAAAGAAATCCATTAAAGATATTTTTGAAGAACTGAGATAAATAATAAATGGATTTCACCTCAGAGAATCTGGAAATTTGTAAGAGAACACATAAATATACTGTAATGGAGCGATTAGCTTTGTACAGAGCAAGCCAGGGTCTAAGGTGTGAACCAAGATGTTGATTTTCATTTTTCTTGAGGTTCCTTTTTGAAATGAAAGAAGTTTGCCCTTTGTTAGCTGCAGCTATGATTGCACCATCAGAATTAGTGATTACTTTTATTTTTTAAACATGATGCTTTATAATGAGCTTTCTTTAGAAGATAGGCAAAAAAAAGGCAAAAAATTATGATTGGACCCAAGTTGATTTACACAATTTGTTTTTGGAAAACTATGAATGATTTCTTTCAAGCAGTACTGGTTTGATCACAAAATCTCTTGTGGTTCAATTAGACTAAATCCTTTAATATCTATTAAAATAAAGAGAATATCTATGTATATGCATATAATGCTTGGGATGTAAAGGTAGGACAAACCATGAGCAATCTTCATGATCATTCATGTATCTTGCTCAATACCCTCAAGTCTTAGAAGTTCATGACATCTTTCTTGACTTAAGAAGTAGATAAATATAACTTTAAAAATTAATGAAGGGCCCCCTCCAATGTTTTTTGCTTTCTGTTTTTTTTCAAGTTTTTCCAAATTTCTTGATTGGACTTCTGTTGTTTTTCTTCTTCTACCTGGATCTCCAATAGCAGCAGAGAACAAAGGCTCTGCCCCTTTTTCTTGAATCCATATATATGGTCTTGTGTGTGTATGATCTAGACAGAGCACGCCTGGTGTTAGGTTCCAGACCTTCTACCAGAAGGGCAAAAGATATTCAGCCAATCTCTGACACCACAACTCCTGAAGAAGCAGCCCAACCTATTCGTCCCCCATCTTTCCCTACCTAACCCTCATTCTCTGTTGTTGTCAGTGGCGGCACCTGACTTGCTGGATCCTAAATCTGCCGCTCAGAACTCCAAACCGAGGCTCTCATTTTCTACGAAACCCACAGTGCTTGCTTCCCGGGTGGAGAGTGACACAGCCATTAATGTTATGAAATGGAAGACGGTCTCCACGATTTTCCTGGTGGTTGTCCTCTACCTGATCATCGGAGCCACCGTGTTCAAAGCACTGGAGCAGCCTCAGGAGATTACACAGAGGACCACCATTGTGATCCAGAAGCAAACATTCATATCCCAGCACTCCTGTGTCAATTCCACGGAGCTGGACGAACTCATCCAGGTAATGGCTCCAGAGCAGTGGTTACGCCTTTTCCCCTTACGGAGAAAGATGGGGAAGGGAAAGAGGAGAGAGCCTGTGTAGTGCATTCCTGATAGGCTCTAGGGAGACCTGTGCTGCCTTCTTATGCTGTGTAACACACATCTCTGTCTCCCTTCTGCATGGTCTCTTTTATCCCTTCTGCTATCTTATGGCTTCCTTCTACACTCCTCCCAATGTTCCTTCTCATCCTGTCTACTCCCGCTCTCCTGCATGTCTGCCCTCTGGTTTTTCCTGTCTTAGAGCTGCCATTGGACACTGGTGGACAAGAGGTATTCTACTGGGTGCTCTCATGGTTAGGATGACCATTGCCCATTGAGAAGTTATGTGTGATATGTAGATGGAAAAGAAAAGGGCTTTAACCTTGGCAGTGACCATCAGGCATAATGTAGAAAAGATGGACTTGTGGCATGTGTATTTAACCTCACCAATGTATAACTGTGTTTTGGAGAAGTGTTTGTTATTTTTCTAAACTTCAACTCAAAGCAGATTAGGACTATCCAGGAAAATAAGGTTGTTGAATAAAAGTGAATTTAGTTTTAATTTATATTAGCCAAACAATGTCCTTCTGTTTTGTTTTGAAGGGTTAGCCCCAAATTAAATATAAGTCAGTCTTCTCAGAGAGATAGTGGTGGTTTTGTTGTAGAGTTCATTTACATAAAACAATTAATTGATTCAACTAAGAATCAAAGTTGAGGTAAAAGTTTTAGATTTACCTCATAAGGAGAGACCTAACTGGTTGCTGAATACATTAACTGGACACACATTCATTTTCCTATATAGTCTACTTCTCTTGTCTAGCTTAATTCAAATTAGACTGAAAACTACCTATGGTGAAAATGATCAGCTGAGCTAATTTTCTTCCATATGTTGTTTTATTTTTATAACATCTGAATGAATTGGAATAGTAGATTTAGGAAAAATTCTTATGGACTTTAATCCTAGAGTTTGCTCTTGGAAGTTTAATTTCATTTTGCCATTAAGAATCTCCCAAACCTTCTTTTAGTTTTTAAAATGTTCTGGTCAGATTCCTCTAATTTTCTCCCCCTTCTACTTGGACCTTGAATAGGAGTAGAGCAAAAACCCAGCCTCTCTTTCTTTAGATGCTCATATCTCTGCTGTTTGTAGCCCTCTCACTTTCTACTATACTTTATCTAAGTTTTTGTATAAGTTTTACTGAAAACCACCAGAACTGGCATTGTCTGACTTGTTTACCTTCTACCACATTCAGACATTTCTGCATCCTGCCTATTTGACTTATTAAACTTTTGCTGGTTTTTATGATATGTTGACAAAACAATGGGAAATGCAGTTCATATGCTGATATACTAAATTCTCCACTATTTTTAGATAATGGTGGCATTCTCAGTATTGACAGTGAAATGAATTATTGTCACAGCTACCTCTTCCCATGATCTTATGAAAGATTATTTTTACTTCACTTTTCTTTCATGCCATTTAGTTCTGAGATACTAGTAATCTTTTTAAGAATTCTTATGGCCTTTGGTTTTCTTTCTGGAGGAAGCAAGGAGCAATTATGAAAAAATCTAAACTCTAGGATTTGATAAGTTATACTGGAGGATATATGTAATTGAACAGGTCATGTTAAACGCTAAATGATCTCTCTGGAACAAGGAAAGAATACCTATCAAGTAATGTTGTTGAAACAAAAAAAGATAATCCATATAAAGCAGGGAATTGTCCAAAAGCTTAGGCTTGTTTTCACTACCCATATCCCTTTATTGGGCATTTGATTCAAGTAGTTGCGTCACAAGCACCTGGAGTGAAATGATTAGTCTTGGACAGGGGGAAAAATAGAACTTTAGGACCATGGTGGAGAAACTCTTTGAGTTTGACAGAGATTTCACTGGCCAGTTATACCCAAATTTATTCAGAACTCTGAAAACAGCTTAAAGGTCATTATAGGTTATGAACCTATCTTCTGGTGAGACCCCTGGTCTTCTTTTAATTTTCTTTAATTTTTATCTTTTATGCTACTTTATGTTTGAAATGGGCACAGATAAAGTTCAAAGTCTGTCCAGTGTATCCATTTTAGCTTTGTGGATATTTGCTGCTTTTTGACTCTATTTTATCATCCTATCATTTTCCTCTGTAATCAGATAGTTTTAGTAAAACATATATATTTTTTCTCCTTGAAGATAATTTCTTTTGATCAAAGAAACTAATGACATTGCATCATGGATCAATAGCAGCATATAAATAGGGAGGAAGGCAAATGATCCAGTAATTATTTGTTAGAATTATTTATATAACTCTCATGAAGTTCCTCATGTTTTCCAGTAATTATTTGTTAAACTTATTAATGTGATTCTCATGGATTTTCTAGCGTTTCCCCACACACTTATTTCCTCATTTTATTATTGAGCAAAACCTTATGAATAGGTATATTAGGCAGTAGTGTCACAGCAATAGAAGATCAGGAAGTAGCGGGGCACCAGAGGCTCACAGTGTCATCCTAGCTACTTAAGAGGCTGAGATCTGAGGATCACGGTTCGAAGCCAGCCTGGGCAGAAAAGTTCAGTGAGACTCTTATCTCTAATCATTCAAAACCTGGAAATGGTGCTTCGGCTCAAAGTGGTAGAGCACTAGCCTTGAGCAGAAGAGCTCCGGAACGGAGCCTAGGTTCTGGCTCAAGCCCCCACAACCAGAAAAACAAATCAGGAAGCTGGGGTTGGAGATGTGGCTCAGTTGGTGGAGAGCCAGATCTCTATGTTAGTAGAGATGGAATCGTGTCTTCCTGTTGTATAGAGGAGGGAAGAGGAGGAGTGATAATAAAGATCATGGGCCAATGTCTCGTACAGAGACTCTTATCTGGTCTCAGATCCCACATTATTACTATTCACTGTCTGAGTGGTTATCGTCACCTGATTTCATGCTGTGGTTGGGTTGCTTGGGAGGGAGGAGGAAGAGATTAACGCAGATGAAGGCCACAGTTGTGTATGTGACAGAAGCCTATGTGGTGTCTTTGACCTTAGCCCTTCAAGTTAAGACTGAGGAGAGGGTGGTAAAAATCAACATAGAGAGAACTTTGCTGGGCTTAAGTACTTAGAGTAGTGTGGCTTTCGATTTCCAATTATATTTAAGTTAATGTGATATCTCTACAGAAACACAGAGGAAGACATTTTTAAGTTTTAAGGCTCTAATACTTATATACCATTGTTATAGATCAATTTAACGAGCACTTAGTACATGCAAGGCATTGTTCTAATCCTCTTTGTGTGTTACCTTATTTAATTCTTGCAAAAAAAAAACCTTCATGAGACAGGTGCCTTATAACCTGCATTCAACTTAGGTGGAAACTGAGTCAGAGGAATCTTCATTTTATAAGAGTGCACAGTGGTAGAAATGTTATCCAAGCCTTAGTGGACAGACTCTAAGCTTATTCCCCCAGCCCCTGCATTCATTGCTTCTAACATAATTAATAAACATTTTGCTGGGAGCTGGGAGCTCACGCCTCTAATCCTAGGCTGAGATGTTAGGATCATGGTTCAAAGGTAGCCTGGACAGGAAAGTCTGCGAGACTCTTTATATCTAAATAACCAGCCCAAACTGGAAGTGAATCTGTGGCTCAAGTGGTAGAGTGCTAGCTTTGAGTGAAAAATCCATGTGAGAACACAGGTCCTGAATTGACACTACACAAACACACACGCGCGCGCGCACACACACACACACAATTAATAAACATTTTTATAAAGTTCTCTATACGCACGTTAGGGTCTAGTGAATATTAATTATAGTTTTCTTTCCAAAGGGATGTACATTGTCTTATCTCTGTTTCTAACATAGAGAATATATCGCCTGTGTTTTAAGATTCTTCTTGGACAGCAGGTTTATGCTAGTGTTTTTTCTGAATGTGGCAGACCAGTAGAAGCATAGCTGTATTAGACATAACTGGTCTTCCATCCAATTTGTTGTGTTTACTGAATCAATTTTGGGACTTAAAACTCTATGATACATACATTGAAAACGAAACTACTTTGTGAACTATTTGTCTTTCCATTTTTAATTAGAACCCCATTCTCTAGGCGCTAGGAAGAGAAAATATTCTCTACTTGTTTGGAGGTAAAGAAATTGTCATGTTTATACAAGAGGCACTGGGTAGCTTTAGGTCTTAGGTCTATGGCATTTTCCTGCAGAGAAGATTATGTTCTCTTTGCTCTACCCCTTTTCATTTGGATCCACTCAGTAGTATTTATTGAGGATCTCCAATGTGTTGACTAACTTTTCTGGGTATGGAGTCCAATAAAATGATGGGAAAAAAAGCATAGCTCCTTCCATTGTGTGCCCTTCCTACATGGTTAAGCAGAGACCACTAGAGATAGGTATAACTCAATATGCGTGCAGAATGGACATGGAGGGACTATTGGAATACTGAGGAAGAGATTGCTACTGAAGGACAGTTGGGATGATACAGAAGAAGCAGTGAAAGGGAAATTAGGGAAGAAAAGGAGATCAGAGGACATTCTAGGCAGAGCAGGCCTGGCGTGCCCCAGTAGTTGAATTTATGTGGGCATGATGGCCAGGGACATGGACAGCCCTCACCGAGTAGACTGTACTTTATTGTTCCATGCCAAAGAAGAAGGAATGAGTATCCCAGGCCTGCCTTACTCCACTTGGAGTGGATGTATACCAGTGACGCTTGGTGATGTATCAGAGGATATCTGGAGCTACAGGATGGATATGTACACATGCCATCCTAGAGGACAATGACATTAGACTTTTTAAAGCTGACATTCTACTAGGAAATAAAACGTTAGTCTGTTAGATGGTGCCAAGATTCAGGAGAGCAAACAAAGCAGTGAAGGGGATAGGAAATGTTGGATGGGGATCAATTTCAGATTAGCCCCCTGGAGAAGCTTCACTGATGAGAACAGAGAGCCAGGGAACACACCATGGGGCCGTCTGGGGAATAATACCTCTGCAGAGGCTGAGCACAAAGGGCT